TGACAAAAAAAATCAAATTTAGAGCTCTTTGGTCTTGCTAGAATTCCTTGGACTGGCGCTGCTTCTACTATCATGTCCCCTTGTTGCTACCATCAAGTTGTACTATTGTTGCCAAATCTTGCTTTTGTTGTCAAGTCCCATTGTTGTTGGAAGACTCCACTGCTGATCTAATCAGATTAGCACCTATAAGCTCTAGCACTTATTATTTGTAGTACTAAAATTTAAAAAATTTCTTTCTTCTTCAAAATTAATCACTCATTGCTTCAATTATGAGCTACCAAAAATATTAGTAGCTTGAGTTTTAGGCTTACTAAGGTTCAACTCTTCTCAAGCTAATGCAAAAAATAAAACCTCCTCAAAGTTGATCAAAAGATCAAGTCTTGTAAAACAACATCAATGAATTCCTTCAATTTCATTGAAGGATAAATCTAAAGTATTAAGATTCTAATATTATGTGAAAAAATAAAAATATATAAAAATAAAAAATATATTGCTAAGATAGAAGTTTTATAAAGCAAATACAAACAACTTACTATCAAAGATTGAAGAAAATAAATTCTCAAAATCAACCTTTACTTCTATTCCTTATATAGTACAAGTCCATGGTCTAACAACATGGACTTTTTAGTATGAATACACAAACAACTAGTTTAGTCAACAATGCCAATTAACATGTGGATACTTATCTAATTAGGTAGTATGATGGCGTGGTAAGCTATAGCAACTAAATAGTATTACCACCAACAAATGGCAACTACAACTTGTCAATTGGCAAAGTGGTGTCAACCACCAATTCTACTTTATGTCTAATACTAATTACACACTTTATTAACAAGCCTCGCTTTGATTCAACCACACAACATGCACTTTAAGGTCACTAGAATCAAATTTAAATTGACATTAGTAAAATCTTTAGTCGTACGCACAAAATACATGTTTATAAAAAGTAATTTTATAATTTTTAATATTTGTTTTAAGTTTGGATATATTGCTTAAAGATATCTTTTTAATTCTAAAGATAATTTATTTTACACTTTCATTCTAAGTTGTTGAAGTTTTTTGTTTAAAAAGTAGACATGATTTTCTATTGCTAATCTTTGAATTTTTAATTTACAACCTCTTCTTTACATAATAGCATGATAAAAGCTGCCTTGATTTTGAGCAATTATAAGGTCTCAAAATTTTACATATGTGATTTATTAAATATACTCTACACAATAGATACTTTTTTTATATGCATTTGGTATATAAAACAATCTTTTGAAATTATTACTTGGATGCTTGAAAATATGTGATTAAAAACATAGGTTTTAATCATAGAATAAAAAACATATACACAATGGGATTAAAAAAATATGATTATTAAATCCAAATTCTATTTTCAGTCATATTAATTTCAAAATTTGATTCTTATGATTTTTTTTTTAATATAGAATACTTCAAAAAAAATCACATTCATCTATTATAAAATGGGTATGATTTTGATTAATAAATATTATGCTTCTTATCTTTATTTATTAATAATAGATTTTATGAGTCCAAATTCTATTAATAGTTTAGATCTATAATTAGAATTGGTTGAAAAATAGGCAATAATGCACCAAACATAGTTTAGATTAGAAGTTTTACTTAATACTTATGTAAATTGTTTGTTTTTGTTTTTTGTTTTTTGTTTTTTGTTTTTTTTTAATATTAGCAAATCTGTCATAAATATTGGCTTTAAAGACGATTATAAGTTTTTTTTTTTATTCTAAGATAGCGAGGGTGTTTGTGAATTAGAAAAATCAAAATTAATCTTAGAATTATAAATTTTATTTATTCTTTTTCAAAAAATTAAAAATTTAAACTTTTCTTAATAAAATATCTTAGTTTATTGCAAATTTTTTATTTCTTTATTTTGAAATCATGTTTCATAATTTTAATTTTTTAAAATAAATCTAAAACTACCCAACTTTTGTAAATACCATTGATGCTTCCAAATTCTTTTATATGTATTTTTGTATATGTTTAAATAATCCACTACATAATGTCTACATTCAAAAATAAAGCTATGCAAAGCAAGACATGTTTATCTAATTATTTTAATTTCTTCTTTACATATATATTATTTAACACTTACAACATTAATTTAATAAAAACATGGATTTAAATTTGTTCTTTTTAATAAATTTAAAATTAATTTATAAAATTATATTTTTAATTATAATTTTTTTAGGAATATCTTATAAATTTTATTACAATTTTTAAGAAAAATTCATGAGAAATTTTATTTTTTGGTGGCTATTATACAAACTTAAAAATGAATAAAATAAAAATTAATATTAAAAGTAAATAATATCTATTATAATAAGAATTAATCATCTTTCTATGATTCTTAAATTTATTAGTCAAAGATGTAAGATAAGAGACTTAAACTTTATTATTATTATTGTTTATTTAAATAAAAATTATTTCTATATGTATTGACTTCCAATGAATATAATAAATATTATATTAAAATAAGCTTTTACAAAATAGATGTTGCTTCCAATTATGCCCTAAGATTTAAAGTAGTATACATTCTTTATCTTTTCATATCTAAAGCTAATCATTATATATTTTTAAAATTTTAATACTCTATAATACACATTCATGTTTGAATACAATTATATGATAAAAAGTTAGATGAAGTCTAATTCATATAGAAAGGTTTAATTGAAATATTAGTAGAATTACTTAAAAAAATTATAGATGATAGATTTGAGATGATAAATATTTTAATGATTCATGTTGTTGTTTTTTAAACAAATGCTTCTATTTAAATCATATGGCTATAATTAAGATAAGATATAGTAGAATAGGTAAAAAAAACTAATACAAATATCTATAGGTTAAAATTAAGAGTAGTTGTTTTACAAAAATCACCACATAAAAGATTAAAATTATTTTTGAAAAAGATTGTTTGTGAGAAAAAGTCAAAATCAGATTCCAAAGTATAAATACATATGTCTACAACAAAAGTGGGGTTTTTTTTTTTTTTTTTTTTTTTATAGATTCAAAAGTGGAATTAGAGAAAATATTATAGAAGGATTTTAAAACAATTAAATGTAAAAAGATTGGATTTAAAATGACTTTATTAAAGCTAATTGAAGTCAAGGTTTTTTTCTTTCACAAGTATATTTTCAACTATAAAGTAGGATGTATAATTTTAGCTATATCTTGGCATTTGTGCTAGATTTGTAATTGATTTTTTGTGCATCACTAAATGCATTTATTTTAAGTATGTATCTTATATTTTAACTCAAATTATTTGTTGAACTTAAGGTTATAGTAATTCAACAATAGAATTTTAATAGTTGGTTGTTTGAAGGTCAGTAAGAATATGATCTAATTGCAAAGATTTTTTTAGTTGGATTGAAGTACAATTTTTTTGATTTTGTAGATGACTTAAATTGCAAGATTAGCATCAAAGATTGACATCAAAGTTGAAGAAAGAGGTCTCTTAACATTGAGGCGGGTTTTTAATTGTTCCTCTCAATTTGTAAGTTAGATCCTTCTTAAATTTTATGAACTTATTTTAAATAGAAAATTTAAAAGAATAAAGAAATTTGAAAAATATTCAATGATAAGATAACATTATAGAAAAGAGTTTTGAAGAATGTTCAACATGGTGTTGTTTGCAAATGCGTATGCAATTAATTAAATTAAAGATATTAAAAATTAGAATTTTGAGAAGTAAATTTTAAATATTATTCTTAAAATTAAATTAAATTTGATTAATATAAAAAATTCTATTTCAATCAATGTCAAACATAAGTTATTAATATTTAATATTATATATTAAAAAAAATTATTATAAGATTTATATTTAAGATTTTTATACCTTTTTTTAGTATTTTTTATCTTTATTTTTATCATAATTTTTAAAAATTTATCATGAATAATATTGGTAATTAGTAGTAGTACCATAGTTAAAGTATGATAGAAAGTGGTGCTTAGGAAAGTTTTAGGCTTTAAAAATACTAGAGGAATCTCAAGGTTTTTTTTTTTTTTTTTTAGAGGTTTGGATGTGTGGGAATTTGTGTTGCAACACTTGAAGCACTATTGATTTCATCAAGTTCCAAAAGTATTTAATATATGTAATAATGTAAATTGTTTTGTTTTAGTAATAAAAGAAGGATAGTTATTTGGAGATTGGTGTAACCTTGGTACCATTGTAAATGTGCCATGCACTAGTTCAAAGGTAATATACAATTTCACAAATGCAACAATAAGGTATTGCAACTATTCTATTATGTAAAGAGGTGTTTTTGACCATCACAATGCAAGGACAAACACTTATAAATATAATTTGGACTAAATATAAAATACCTTAGTTCTAAAAATAATTATTTAAAATATTGATTAAATTTAATTAATATACATAATTAATAATACATTAATCAAGTTAAGTTTGACATTAAAAAGAAAAAGTTATAAGTTAGAAATAGAATATATGTTGAACTGTGATGAATAATTGTTTAAAACTTGAGTTTGAACTATTAATTTATATATGTTGACATATCTTTAATTCATTGACAACCATTACTACATAATTGAAATAGTTTAGTTTAAAATAGGTCATGTATATTGATATATTTGTTACTGGAGTTTTTTTGTAATTTGTAAAAACAAATTGAATAGATATTTTAGATACTCGATTGTAGTAGCAGCTCCTTGCTAATATAAGTGCCCTTTTATTTTTATTTTTTATTACTGTAGTGTAGCGACAATATTGTTGATTTTATGATATTCCAGAACAAATTAGGATCTTAATTTTTTTATAAATCATAAATTCCTATATGTGTATAAATAAATAAATAAACAATCAAGCATAAACATAAAAGGGCGATACGCAATGAAAAGGAGCCCATTTGTGAAGAACCGGAGTGATGAAGAATCAGTCCCATTCCCTTGCAAGAGGAAGCGCCGCGCCGTTGCCGAGGTTTGCTGGATCGGGAATTCGAATGGAAGCGATGGATGGATTGTCTCGCTTTGGAGCTCACGGCAACGGATGCACTGTGTGAGATACCCTCTTGACTTCTAAACCTAACTCCAATCACGATGACGCAGAAAACGATGCGGCACGAGAGCAAGCAAACATCAGGACCCTGCCTACTTGGCATGATATCTCCAGCACATCTCCACCACTTAATTCTCAAATCCGTCTTCAATCGTGTGTATTTTCGAGATTTGGGAGTTGGCGTGACCGCAAGAGGATAGTTTGAGACGTTTGGGACGATGGGTTGGGCGTGATTTGTTCTGTGCGAGAGACTGGAAACGAAATGGTTTGTGGGTTTTTGTAGGGTTTTGCGATTGCAAGTGGGGAGTTGAATCCTCGTGGGAGACGGTACCACGACCCAACATGTCGGTTTTGAAGTATATGGTGCTGTTGAATAGGGATGTGCCGCGCGCAGCGCAATTCTACGCTCATGGGTTGGGATTGGCCGTGAATGTGTGCACCACGCGCTGGGCCGAGCTTCAGTCTGGCCCTTGCAAGATTGCTCTTATGGAGTCTCCTAGGTTTGCCTTTCTTCGCCTTGCTGTGTGTCTGTAACTTGGGTTTCTTTTTCGCTGGCGTCCTCTCTTCTTCTGCTTCGTCGTTTCTGAGATTCAATGCTGTCTGCGATCGAGTTTGTCCTCATTTGTGGTTTCTTTGAATGACCTTTGAATACCTCCTGTGTCAGGTTTGGTCTCTTCCTTAGCTTTTATAATGCGATTTGGCGAGTGTTTCATTAGATCGAAATGTGGATTGACATAAGTGTGATAACTGGATTGAGATTCTTCCATGATAGATTAACAATTACGCATTCAAACATTACGTTTGAGGTTCAGAGGATTGGATGTTAGGGTTGGATTTGTTCTTCTTGTGGTAGGAGTTTTTCCGTAAGTCTTAGTGGTTAGTAGCGTCTAATGCTCGGGAATTCGTTGTACCCTTGCCGACCACAAGTGAATATTTGGAATTTAAACGTCAATAAGTAATGATTCTGCCTTTTTCAGATGACCAAGAACATATTAAGCTGCACTCTTTGTTGTCTCTCATGGCAATATGTTTGTGAGATTCTTACAAGCTTGCGTCGAAAGAAGTGCGAGGAGTAGGATGGCTATGTCAATGGCTAGGGTATGTTGTTCTGATTGAGCAATCCGCCTTGGGGCTCAGTGGTGCTGAATTATTATTATTGGTATGCAGCAATGTGGAGCTTACGAAGGGCTACTCGCCATTTTTGTCCTTCAACGTGAAAGATATGGACAGCACCGTTCTGAGACTGCTTTCCATGGGCGCTGAGCTCGATGGTCCAATTAAGTATCCACCTCAGGGCAAGGTACGCCTCTGTACTCACTCATCTACTAGTTTGTGTTTGTGTCTGATTTTTCTATATTGCAACATTATTGGTTTACTAGACTAGAAGACTATCAATTAAACGCTTATTTCGTGGATGCGCAGGTTGCGGCATTGCGTTGTTTGGATGGTCACATGTTAGGTCTTTTTGAGCCAAATAAGCCTGAATAAGCTGAAAGATGAGAACATCTTCGATTGACACCTGCTTAGTCCTTATTAACCATGAGCTTCCAGTTGTACAGTTGGAATGGATTTCATTCCCTTGCCCTCTTCGCTCAAGAATTAGGAGAGGTAATGAGACATTTGAAGGCTATTGTCGATCATCGAACATTCTGAAGTGTCACTGCAAGTGAAAGAGTTGAACTAGAGTTCACTATCTCTTAAGTGTAGGTTCCTGGCAAGTATGAAATTCAGAGCGTCCCTAAAAACAGTACTCCTGTTAAAAGCGTCTGGTGTGACAAAATACTTTGCATTGCGTGTCCTACAGTGCTTCACATCAAATGCTGTAACCCGTATACAGATCGATAATATTTTATTCGATTTTTACAGCAGATTTTGTAAGAAGCTAAACAAAATAGTTAGATCTTCTGAACATAACAGACGGCAGATTGGATTCTCCTCACGTGTTCAAAACTATTCCAATGCTTTGGAGTGTTAGAATGATTCAATCAATATTTTGGCTGTTTCTTGATTACACACTGTTAACCTTAAACTGGCAACCTTCACATGCCTCAACTCAAGCATGTGACTTACAAAGACCAGCAACGATGAATTAAATAAATGGTTGAGCGATCGGACGTGGTCTGCTTCCTGGAACCCAGACTGTACATGAAACCCCACAGTGCGGTGCATCACTGATTACCACAATTTTGAAAATATTACGAAGTTATCTTACAAGCTCACACGCAAAAGATATCTTGGTATGATTTTCAAACGAAAGGCCCGCGGGTGTGCCAGGAAAAGTAGACCAAATCAGAATAGATGAAGTTACCCGCCTCCGCCACTGTACGTCTTGCCAAAGAAGATGATTTGGAGCTGATCGTATCCAGAAAGCACACCGGGCCCTGCTACGGCACGAAGAATATTGGCACCAGCGCCTTTGAAGAGTGATTTGTAGCCTTCCTTGACCACAATCTGCTGTGCGGCATCCATGCTGGACTTGTATTTTACCGCCGCCCCAGACGTCATCATCATACGTCGTCTAACTGTGTCTAGCGGATACGAAGCCAATCCCGCACCGATGGTGATGCTCCACCCCAGCATGAAACTTGCAAAGAAATTGTCCTGCGACAGTGCGGGAGATTAGTATCAGCGGGTGTTAAAACTTGACAAGAATTGTTCATTATTGGTATGTAGGCGAAAATGGGGGTGGGGGGAGGAGATACACCTGGAGGGTGCCCACCAAGAGAACCGGCTTCAATGAATCATACATGCCAAAGTAAAGCCCTCGGTACACCACAATACCAACGCAGGAGATTACAAACCCACGATATAGCCCCGCAACACCATCCGATGCGAGCGTTTTCTTGTACACGTCAATGAGCCCGTTAAACTGGCGCTCCCCTCCCCCTTTCTTACTGGACTTCGAATCGTTTGCCAAACGCGTGCGGGAGTAATCCAAGGAGTACACAAAGAACAGAGAACACGCTCCGGCTGCCCCACCGGAAGCAAGGTTTCCTGCAAACCACCACCAGTATCCGTCTCGATCTTTTTTCATGCCGAACAATTTGTTGAAGTGGTCTTTGAACGCGAAATTTAGAGCCTGGCATTGTATGGAAATGAAATAAAACCTTGTGAGCACGGAATGTTAACCGTGCTTGAAATCACACTTGATCTCGGACAGAAATTTTCTTCAACTACTTCGAGAAAAGTAACATGATTATATTGCTTCAATGACAATGACTTGGGATCAGAAAGAAATAGCTGTTCACCTGAGTAGGAAAGTAACGGATAACATTGGCAGTGTTACCACGCCATAATGCGAACACGCCTTCCTCTGATATGGTACGCTTGAAGCAGTCGACAACTCCTTTGAAAGGTTCCGCAAGCCTGCCCTGCTTGATCATCTCATCCTGGTTCTGGACCAAGAGCTTGATTCGCTCAATGGGAGCAGCCGAGGTCTTGGATACCGCTGCTGACACCCCTCCCAACAGGAAATCCATCATGAAATTCTTCTCATTCACGGCGTGGGCAACAACTTTCGATGTCGTTCTGACTGTTGTAATGCCTCTTCTTGTAGGTCCCCGGAGAAATTCAGCAGGGTAATACTGCAGAGCACTGGACCTCACCACCTTGCGAGACTGAACGGAAGTAGGAGGCTCTATTACTCCAGTTAGTGCACTCATTGGGTAGGACGGCACTGTTCTCTGATGTGTAGAAGATGAAGTCGCAAGTCGGGAAATCAGATACGACGATCCCACTGAAAAGTGCAGCCCTCCTGCCCTACTGTTGGACCCCTCGGTCCTCATCGTATCACAATCGAGGGTAGCAGCGGCTACTAATGTCTCAAATATCTTTTTTCTACACACAAAACTTCACGGGTCACTACTTAAGACGACGACGCAGCATATTATACCTTAACAACTTCACTACAACCTTATTCCAAAAAGCAATAATCTCGTTGATTTCTCCTCGTTTCAGAGACCAGCCATGACTAGCCCCCGCCTACATGTGTCAAGAATCCTCTTTGTCCAACCCTTGACCTCAAGACTTACGAAATGACTAACCTGAACCTCAACTACTCCTTCAGAGAGACTTCTTCATCGACCAATACACTCCGAAACATATGATGCAACGAAAACGAGTAGTAAGCGGCAGGGTTCAAGAGCACAATCAACCTGATCCAGCCTTCTCCTCTTATCGTTCTGCCCAACTCTATTCGCGATGTCATGCAGCTAATGAAAAAATTGGCGTTGTCTGGAATTTCGATGGGGACAAAGATGGATTTCCCTCGCAACGGTGGACCTCGCCTGGAAAAGAATCGACCGAGGGCAGGAGAGCGGCCGATGAATCGATACATTGAGGAGGGAAAGAATGGAGACGTGGGGAGAAGATTAGCACGCACGGACGGCTGCGATGCGCGGACGCACCGCCATGCATGCAGATGGAGATAATATCCTTATCTAATTTCACACCGCGTGCTAGAATCGTAGTGACGTCACCACCTCCAACGGTTTTTGAACCCCGAGTTGCTTCGGAGAAGGTTCCTACCCCTATCGAGGTGTGGGTATTGAGGACCATATTGCTCCTTTAATGGGTCTCTCGGATTTAAATCTATGTTTATCAATTCTTCACGAATAAGTATGAATTTTCATGTCATTTTGATGATAAAAATTAGAAAAAATGTATTCAATTATACAATATTATAAAATCTATTCAACTTGAATAATTTTTAAAAGAATTCACACTATAAATATAAATAATATATATATGTACTTACAAAACTTGTTTGCACAATTTTAACTTCTAATACCAGCTACTTTTGAAGTGGTTAGAATGAAGTTTTGCAAACTTTAACATAAAAAAAACTCTCTATTGCTATCTTGCCAGCAAAATATTTAATCAATCAATCTTGAATTTTTTAAACAAATAGATAGAATGAGGTACATTCTTTAAGGAATATTTAATTAATCTTTGAGGGAAAAAAAAAATAAAAATCTTAAATTTTTCTTATATATGTATGTCTTTGTGTGTGTGTGTGTGCGTGAGTAAATTAATAATTTTAAAAACCATAATCTTGCTTCATAAAATAATACAAAGTAAAAATTAAAAAATTATTAATCAAAAATTGAATAATATTATTTACAATTTTTTTTCTTAATATCAAAAAAAATCTCATTTACTAAAAGAATTTAGTAACTAAAGAAAGTTTCAAATATTTTCTTAAAGTATGACTATTTGCAATATGAAATTATTAAAGATTATAATGAAAAAAATATAATATATTTATTTTTAATAAAATTCAAATTAGTAAACAATCTTGAAGATTAAACATCAATATGTTTTATGGGATTTATCATTTCAAAGCACCAATATTAGGAACTAGACTAAAAACATAAAAAATCATTATAGTGATCACAATATAAGAATTATTGTAAAATATTCAAAACAATATAGATTCAAAAATAAAATTTATGATGCATTCATTTGTGCATATTACAATATTTTTGAAAATACATTTACATAAAATTTAAATAAATAAATAAATAAATAAATAAATAAATAAATAAATAAATACATAATCTAAATAATAAGTATTTTATTACAAAATTTAACAAAAATTTGAATAGAAACATATAAAAAACTTATGATTATACTTTAAATATTTATAAAATAATAATATAATAATTTTTATCTAATATTTTATAAATCTTCAGATCTTACATGTAAAAACTAAAAAAAAGAATACATAAGACATTACAATAGATTAATATAATTATATTTTAAGTTTATTTTTTTATAATTGTATATTTTGTTTTATTCTAAAATAACCATATATATATATATATATATATATATATAATTTTTACTCTTTTTTGTGGTATTAAAGAATAATAGTAAATCAACTCACTTAATTGATCAATTTTACTTCTATAATTCAATTTATATGACTATAATAGTAGAAATATATCCAAAATCCTCTTTCATGAAAAATCATTCTTTATCATAGACATACATATTTACTTAAATGAGAAGTATTAGAAAGAAGATAAATGTACGTAGATTTGATATTATCTTGTAGCATAACTTTTTAGAAGGTGTATAGATGCATATTTGATTTTATAAATGTTTAAAGTTGATTTATTAGTTAAAAACTTATCCAACAAATTAGCTATATATTGTGCAAGTTGATAGCTTGTGTTTCTATTGTCGAAAGCCAAGCCATCAAATTGGTGTTGTATTACTGTTAGGGACATAGTCCTTAGAACCTTCTAGAGACAAGTTTCTAGAACCTTCTAGAGACAAGCTTCTAGAACCTTCTAGAAGCAAGTCTCTGGAACCTTCTAGAAGCTTTTTAGTTGGTAGAAGATGTTAGGGACATAGTCCTTAGAACCTTTTAGAGATAAGTTTCTAGAACCTTCTAGAACCAAGTCTCTGGAACCTTCTAGAAGCTTCTTAGTTGATAGAAGTTGCTTAAAAAGCTTCCTAAATAGGAGTATATATTGGAATCGAGGCTGAAGAGTTCTTCAGTCTCGACAACACATCTCTTGGAGCTCTAGCTCACCTCTCTAGTGTTGTTCTTGTATTCATTTGATTAATCTAGTTCTTACTAGTTCTTCTTGAACTTCTTGGTAGATATCAAGTCTGTATTCTGTGTCCGTGACAGTTTGTCGAGACTTCACTCACCTCAGATATCAGAGCTAGTTTCTTCTTTGTTAGAGTGTGGATTACCCCTCTGCTTAGAAGTGTACTAGCACTTAAGAGGTTGCGGATTACCCTCCTCTAAATTGATACTTCTTTTATTATAATATTGGAGTCTTATTCTTCTTGGAGAGAGTGGATTATCCCTTTTCTTGGAGTTCTTAAGGCATTTTAGAGGTTACGGAGTACCTTCCTCTAAACCAATATTGTCTTCTTGTAGAGTCATTTCTATCCTTCTCTTAGAATGGTCGGGGGCCAAGACATTAGTATGACGAAAAGTTCAGAGTCCAAGTTAGATGCTATCATGAATGCCCTCGCTACGTTATCGCAAAGAACTACAGAGATTGAAGGAGTCGTGGCAAGGCTTCATAATGATGGAGCATCTGGGATGGCACAATCTAGGTTGCACCAGCCTCGAACTTCTACACTTGGAGAAGTAACTTTGCCTCAGGTTCGACAAGCACCACTGGTTCTACATCATAAGGAACCCCGAGTTAGCCTTCCGAACAAGTTCGATGGTACGCGTTCCAAGTTTCGAGGATTCGTCAACCAAATTAGGTTGATAATAGTTTTACAACCCGAACGCTATCCAATGGAGGAGTCACGTGTTGGGCTTGTTGGAACCTTACTTACAAGACAAGCTCTATCATGGTTTGCTCCTTTGTTTGAGAAACAATCATCCATATTAAACAACTTTGAAACCTTTTTGGAGGTGTTTGCGAAAGCATTTGGTAAACACGACAAGGTTCGATAGGCTACAATAAAGATCCGGTCACTATGAGAAGGGATACGTTCTACATCAGTCTATGCATCGGACTTCAGGCAATTAGCATGCGACATCAATTGGAACGAAGAAGCGTTGATGAGTCAATTCTATTGGGGTTTAAGAGACAATGTAAAGGATTTACTGTTAACTCTTCTTGATCTGCAAACGCTCAACGAAGCTATTAGCCATGCTGTGAAGTGCGATAACTGCCTATTCCAACGTCACCAAGACCAACGTTCAAGATAACATATGGTTTGTCACACTCCAACTATGTCGGCAAGCAGCGTGAATTCACATTCAGAGGTAGAAGACATGCAAATTGATGCAGTACGTGTCAAATCCCTTACTCTAGAAGAAAAAAAGCGGCGTATGGAGGAAGGTCTATGCTTGTATTGCAGTGAAGAAGGCCACAATGTTGGAAACTGCCCCAACAAGCAAAATCGACGTATTATCAAGACTAGGGGCACATTTATTCAGGAAAACGAGGATGCCCAGCCACAATAGGAACCGTGCGGCTGGATAGTGAAATATCGCAACAACAACCAGGTTCCTTTCTTTCCGCTCTACCTGCCCTTTGTTTTACATTCCCTTTGTTTATTGGCCCTCAGAAACTGAGAACCCTAGCATTATTAGATTCAGGGGCATCTGCTTTTTTCTTAGACGAAGAATTTGCAAACCGTCATAAGATCCCTTTAGTACAAAAATCCAAACCTGTTCACGTTGAGGTCATAGATGGACGACCTTTATTGTCAGGTAGTGTCATCCATGAATCAAAACCTATAGAAGTGACGTTTAAGGACCATAGTAGTTATATTATTTTCAATATTATTAGAACCCCATCAAATCCTGTTATTCTTGGTCTTTCCTGGTTGGAAAAGCATAACCCATCCATAGATTGGAAGTTGTGGAAGATGACCTTTCCCACAAAAACACCTAAGAACAAGCCTAGTAGAAAATCTCGAATAGAGAAATCCTTATTTATTGGAGCAAGAGCGTTTATAAGATTGTCCAAGGAAGGCACATCGTTTGTCATTTATGCGGCTCCAACTACCGGGGAGAAGATCTCGACAACAAGTATACCGGAGCAATATAAGGATTTTAAAGACGTGTTTCAAAAGAAAAATGCCGACATGCTATCAGAACACAGACCGTATGGTTGCGCCATAGACTTACAAGAAGGAGCACAACCACCTTTTGGTCCAATCTACAATCTATCGCAGATGGAGTTGGCGGAGTTGCGAAAGTACATCGACGAGAATCTAGCCAAGAACTTCATCCGTCATTCAAAATCGTCAACTGGAGCACCCATCTTATTTGTGAAGAAGAAAGATGGCTTGTTGTAGATGTGCGTGGACTATCGAGGCCTCAACAAAGTAACAAAGAAGAATTGTTATCCGTTATCATTGATTTCTGGTCTCTTAGAACAATTTGGACGTGCAAGGATCTTTACAAAAATTAATCTAAGGGGGGCTTACAACCTCGTACAAATCAAGGAAGGAGATCAGTGGAAGACAGCGTTCCGTACAAGGTATGGCCATTTTGAATATAATGTCATGCCCTTTGGTCTTACCAATGCTCCAGCGATCTTTCAACATATGATGAATGATATTTTTCGAGAGTACCTTGATGATTTTGTTGTCATCTATTTGGATGATATTTTGATATTCTCCAAAAATGAGGAAGAGCATGAAAAATACGTTCATTTGGTATTGGAGAAAGTACACGAGCGAGGACTATATGCCAAGTTAGAGAAGTGTTTGTTTCACCAAATAGAGATGGAGTTTCTGGGGTTCGTTGCGACTACGAAAGGCTTGAAGATGGACCCCAAGAAGGTGGAAGCAATCGTATCCTGGGAGGTTCCGAAGACGGTTAGAGACGTA